TCTCTCTCTCTCTCTCTCTCTCTCTCTCTCTCTCTCTCTCTCTCTCTCTCTCTCTCTCTCTCTGTCCTCTCGACTACGATCTCTACGCTAGACCAGTCAGCGACATTATTCTTTCGCGGATTGCCGATGCGTTACAAAAGTGGCTCTTTGTCGTAACCAGAAGCGGCGCGAACGCCCGCGCTCGCGCGAGGAACATTACACGAAATCGGGATGGGAAAACAAGCGGTCCGTGCACGAGCTTTCGGCTTTCCGTTTCCCGGTTTTCGTTCTAGAATCGCGTAAAAGCCGCGCGTAAAAGCTTCGCGGACACACGCACGCGAGTGCATTATGCACGAAATGCGAAGAGAGAAGACCTCTTTCGGAGTCTCGAGTCGTTTCGCGGGAGAATAATTGCGCGACCAAACACATTGCCGTTTTATCTATTACCAGCGTCATTATTTCGCCCAACGAGTCAAATATCACGGCCAGCTGTCAGCTACTGTCACCGTAAAAATTTCATCTCCTAATATAATGTCTCCTTTACCGGCGCGTTTAAAAACTCGAAGGCCACGTAAGGAATAATAATCGTGTTGTAGGCGGCAATATCGTGTGGAATACGCGCGACGGTTACGTGTGCGGACGTCAGTATGTTAGAAGGAAGAGGGCAACCCTGTGGGACCACTACACGCGAGGAAAAACCTATAATATGGCACACACATCATGCTTTTTTTCTCCCTCTCCCTCGTTTTTTTTCCTATTGCGTCGTATAACGTTCGGAAGGGAAAATGATATAGGTTAAAAGTACGTGAGCGAAATATTTTACGCGCGTCCCCGCGGCCAGTCGGAAATACGGAGTATCGCCGTGAGTTCCTACTCTCGAATGAAACCGACGGACTCCAGCTCTGTGCGAGGGAAAAAGAACGACGTTGTATCGCGTTTTTACAAAGGCATCGTCGATAGGTATATAGCCTGGATATCTGGTATCAGGAGCCGTGTGCGTATACCTGGCGAAAATATATGGAATTGGGCGTCGTTAGACGCGCGGGCGGGCGGAGGGAACAGATAGGTAAATTAGCGCTCGAGAGGTAACGAGTTTCAGATCTCGCCGTGTAATTAATTCGGAGAGAGCCGCTTATCCCCGCGATACGGAGTCTCTTTCTGTCAGTGTGCCGGACTCGATCGATACCGGCCCGTTGTTTACCGCGGTATAATGAGCAATTTTGAAACGTCGCAATCGTTACGCCGAAACAAACCGGAAACTGTGACGTATATAAAGCTTGTGATCTCTAATGAGTGTTATTCGAAACCCGATATCGACGAGTGACGCAAGCGGATTACGCAAATGAAGGATTTCCAATGAATCCATAAAAATAAAGGAGCGGTAACAAGAGGAACACAAACACACAGGCGTACACGCACATCTTTACGAGACGAAGCGTGAGCCTGAACGATGAAAGAGTAAAAATGCGTGTCATATTTTTACGACTTTACGTAATGTGCGAGGCATATGGCACTGTGGCGACTGTCGTTCCCTTACAACATCGGCTCCCACTTCTCTCATCCCCTTTTTCGACTTCGACGTTTCGGTATTCCGGTCACGCGCCGAAATCACCAGGTGATAAAAACTTGAATGTGGGACGAGTAAAATGACTCTCGAGACGTTGCGATGCTTATAGGACCTTTCCGACGTAATAAAAAACAAAAAGGAAAGAACGACCCAAATTTAAGGAAAATCAAAGTAGCGGAACATAAAAGTCTTATCTGGCTATTCCTAGAATTGAAATTTTGTTTCTACTTTAACCTGTAAGCTCCGTCGAGAAGAACTCTACGTATATTATATGTATAGTTCTGTCTTGATGGCACAAATAGTTATTTAATGTCATTTTCTTAATGTTCAATTATCCTCAAAAAGTTCTACTTCAGAAAAGAAAATTTAATTATCTCAAATTCTTTATTCGCATTTAATCTTTATTCTAAATTTCAATAACTAATGTATTAATTTCATAATTTACTTAGCTGCAAATAAAATATATTTAATAAAATAAAATAATATATATTTATAACTAGTAAGCATTAAATAATTAAAAAATAATGACCGAACACCTAATTAGTGGATAAGTAAGATACGAAGTTTTGTTTCTTCGTAATCTCGTTATTATCAATCTTTTTTTATTGGCGTTGGAAGTACATTAAAAATACATATGTATATTAAATATACATATTTATATATCTAGAAATTTATTATATTATGCATCACTACCCATGCTCCGATTTCCTGTGTTCACCGTCTTGGCTTCCCGATGCAGCATCCTGCTCTTGGATGCATTATCAGATTACTAACTCGTGACATTGACACTCGTGTAGATATGATTTGGTAGAAAAAAATATTAATTAATACCATGTACGTATTAATTAATACCATGTGACCCACATTCCTATTAAAAACATTTCAAGAGTCGACGAAATATTCTGCGCAAAACGTAGTAATATGAATGAGGGGTTCGCAGGGTAACAGGGTAATACGCGTTACGCGACGATTTCAAAACAGAGGGTAAAAATTTATTTCCAACAGTCAATTTAAATCACCGCACAGCGTCGTTCAGAACCGAACATCGAGTAATCAAAACAAACGTACTGGATTTTTAAGCGTCGCGTGCGCTGTTACAGATGTTATCATTGCGTCTTGAGTCGAAGAGCGGCACGCATGTACTGTGTCGGTGTATTATTTATCGTTTCCATTGATTGATTAAAATATTTCGTAGACTCTTGAATTATTTAATCGGACTCTCATCTCGTCGCGTTCATTAACATACAATTCTCCGATCAAATTGTACTTGCGCGAGTGTCAGTGCAAGTGCCACGACGGAGCAACCAAGATGCAGGTCCAGAAGCCAAGGTGGAGGGCACCGTGACGTGGACAGCGATACATCATAGATTTCGAGGTGTGTCATTTATTATACAGCGGGTATCCGTTTTTAACGAACCTATCGAGAATAAAGAAATGCTCGAGTCGAATTTAGCCGATATTTATAGTATATCATCATTTAGTATATAATTACAGCTTCATTGATCTTTCATTAATTGTCAGTTTGCATTTATTATATTATTTCACATTTACAAAATTAGTTATACAATTAATACATTGCCGATGCGAAATTAAAGATTCTGATAAAATATTTTGAGACAATCGTACGTAGATAATTCGCGGTGAAATAATAATTAACACTTGCAGCACGTATCGTTCCCGCGTTTTCACGTTACAGCCATATTCGCCAATTGCCAGGCTCGAATGCATATTTGCAAATTAATATACTAACATGAGGTAATGCCACGCTTCGCTCATTATTAATTACGTTATGATTTCTATAAAACGGAGGGATATTTTTATGGCAGACCAAATTATATGGTAGAGTACAGGCCGCTCTGCTGAGGCGCGCAGTTTTAAACTACGGGAGAGCGTAACACAAATAGTGGGAAGGAGAGTTTAAAGAAAAGCACGGGTCTTTGTTAAATAATTGGTTGATCGGAACCGTTCAATGGCCGAGGATCCTTAACTTTTCTGCACAAACGGTATACGTTTTTTGAGATTTTTCGCCCGAGTGGTGCAATTACTGTGAATGGCAATTGGCGAGTGGTTTGTATGCATCGAATGCATACAATTTTTTCGACATTTCCCTCGCGGAAAAAGATGCATCGAAGGAGTTTGCATAAAGTAGGTCCTGACCCTTTTAAGATTTAAGATTTAAGACCCTTTTTAGATGCTAAGGACACCTACAATTCATCTTTTGATCTCGTTCCTAGTTGAAAAATCACCGAATAACGTACATCATTGTACGAACACAGTACACGCTTTGCTTACTTCCAATTGCGTGTATATCTATTTGCCAATTAACGTAAAATTGAACATTACATCCAAGTGGAGAGGAGTATTTGATGAAGGACACGGGATTTTTTGAATAATAGTTGATTCGAACCGCTTGACAGCCGAGGGTTACCTCTTCCGGGGTTTGCACAATGTGTCTTTTTTGGAATTTTTCCGCCACCGTGCAGCACGAATGGCAGAGTTGCAAGTGTTGGTTTTGTGCATTCGATGCATTCGGGCGCTTAATTCTTCCGACTTTTTCTCCACAGAACGAAAGAACGGTTTTGATCGTATCGTGCGTCTCTGGATCTCGTCATTTTTTAGAAAATATCGGGAAATTTCATCGTCGAATCGCGGATGTTTCAAGCAGACCACAGTCTAAAGATTCAATTAAAGTAAAAATACCAATTTTCGTACACGTACGTCATACTGAATATTTCTGTTGTTTCAAACTTTATATAAATATACATATATTTTAAACTTGTAACAAAATGTATGCATATATTCAATATATGTGTATATATTTTATGTTGAAAATTTGAATACTCGTATTGGAAAACCAAAATATATTGAGAAAAAAAATATATTGAGATAATCGAATGTGTTAAATAATTCTTGAACGAGTATTTCATCGAGTTTTTTCATCATGATGACAGCAGAGAGTAATTTGCAGCATCAAGGTAAGAGTATCTCATAATATTGTGTTCTTCATTGAACCTTCAAGTTCAACAGAACTTGTAGGATTAATGTAGAACTAAAATTTTCGACTCAAGCTTTATTCGCGATTAGAGTCTGTCGGGAGAAACTGTATCTTCGCCACGTGAGAAAATTTACACGCGCATGTGAGTCCCGCGATGCGATGCGATACGATGAAACTCAGTTTCGAATTTTATTTGAAATTAAATTCTGATAAACCATTCTTCCTCGTCATCGTGAACAGACGAAATAAATACATTTAGGTTTTCATTTATTTATAGATTAATAAGTTTACTTTCCGCGGCGTGCGGGAGATTTCTCGATACGCGTGCCGCTTCGTCGACGAGATCCTTTAGTAACAGGTGACACGAATCAGCGATGTTCCGAAAGTACGGTGCAATAATCCGTTTCCTCATGCACTGTTTATACCACTCATACTCCTCATTCTCGAAGCCTCTTTGTCGAAGTAACTCCGCAAGACGGCTCGGCTGTCGCCGAGCTCCCGCGCTCAGTTTAATGAGCTTACTCCGAAGGCCCCCAACGTACGTCTGAGCGTCGATACTTCCCCTAAGGCCGAGAGCCAGCTCTCGTGGTAGGCCGTTCTCCGAACTCTCGTGATCATTTTCAACTTGGTCGAGTCGACTGCTCGCGTAAAATAGCCGACATTTGTCACCATCACGGAACACCTGGGTGAGAAGACAAAGTCTCGGAAGAAATGTAATCGCAGGAATTGGGCAAGCTCGTGTACACGCGCACCCCCGTAATATGAAGCTTTCGGCGAAACCAACTACTATATCAGGGAACGGAGGGTGGCACAAATGAAATAAAGCCGAACAAAATCTGTTCCGAGTAATAGTAGATAATAATTTCTCGTTGATACTCGTGTTGCAGCGGGTCTCTCGAAAACTTTGCTAGATTTTTCTCTCGATTGTTTTAGCTGATCCGAAAGAAATATGATCGCACATCAGCCGTAGCGAATGTTTATACGCGAAAGTACTTTAATAACTTTGGGTCACTTTTTACACGCTCAAATGAGATCGAGTTTTCAGGAGGATCAGATATTAAATTTGTTTACTAACGGATATCCAATAGCGTCCCATGGCTCTCTGTATATCGATCAGGACGCTTCGGTCCGCTTCTTTAATGCCGAAGAAAACGCGCACCCGTAATAACTTGGGCAACGGCTGCTCATTCTGCCTTGCTGAAACTTCGTTCCGCGTTCTTTTCGTAGAGAGAACTCGACGACCTCCTTTGCCAAAGGGGAACAGCCAGTTGTGCGGAAACGAATAAGTACTCCGCGGTAATTCAGTTCTATCATGATCCGTCCGTTTGCCGGATGTAACCTGCACATATTGTCATAAAACATTTGCCGACCTTCCGTTGCGTCGAGGTTGACACAGGCGTGTCCCGTCCGGCCGTACATTCCCATTTCTTAACTTCCTCTCCTCGTCATGTTTGGTATCGTTTAGCGAGCAAATAACAAGAAAATTCTCCGTGGAAGAGGGGAAAAATGAGAGGAAAGAAAATGTTTATTTCTCCACTGAATAATGCCGAACACAATGAACGGAGGAAGTTGAGGTACGTTCGCGTTTTTCATTGTAGGAAGAAGAATCGGACAAACTTGTTGAAATAAGTACCTCTCGATCTTGTCACGAAATTATAGTTACTTTTTTTCTGCTGAATCACGAGCGTCAAAAAAATCGTGACACTTAAGCCGCGCAATATAAAAATCTATTAAGAGATGTGAAATAACACCGTCTCTTTCTCTCTCCCTCTCTCTCTCTCTCTCTCTCTCTCTCTCTCTCTCTCTCTCACGTTATCGCGATTATCTAACCCAGTAGTGGCACGATATTTCCTTTGATCCTAACTCCGGTTCCACCGGCACAAATGTAATCAAGTGACGAAGTTCCGGTCGACGTGAAATTGGATACTGGATCATACTCGTCCCGTCGCCGAAGACGGCTGTCACCTCTTGTTCACGTCTAACCGATCGATGAAGGTACTCGCAGGCTGTCAGATCGCGATTCATCGCGAAAATTCTGTATTGACTTCTCGCTGGAAACTCGAGCTTCTCGCAATATCGTTGGTGTTTGCAGCGGAAGCTCGGCCCCGAGTTGGCGACTTCTGCTGCTTCCTCCTCCTCCTCCTCCTTTTCTTCTTCGCCCTGCTCGTCTTCTTCTTTGTTACTTCTTCTGTCTTCACCGCTTTCGAGAAGAACGTCGCCGTCGCGCTCACGGCTCGCGCGATGATAACGCGTAGCGCCATCGCTTTTAACCTCGAGTAGATTTCCAAGGATATCGATGGTCGTGAGAATCGTCCGCGGAGCCGCTTCGGCGGACTCGCCAAACTCGAAAGTCGACATCGATCTTCCGCCGCAAGTGGCGCATTCTTTCGAGAGAACCGCGTCGTCGTCGCGAATCTAACAATAGCGCGTAATTTTCTTAATGCAAGAAACAAGTACAACGACGGAACACCCCAGAGGGACGACAGAAGAACGCAACGGGAAAGTTTTCCGCCGCGGCAATCTCGTCGGCCTCTTCTCTTCCTCGTCGGACAATGAGCGTGGAATTGAAGGGGTCGATGAGAGCATGTGAAAATCACAGCGTTACTTTAGCGTTATCGCAGTTATCGCGGAAATTACATCTACGTTATCGAGCACGCGTCTCCGACGTGCGCGCCTTTGATTACCTTCAGATTAACTTCGCTCCCCATTGAAACTTCGTAATGACCTCTTCCCGATATGCTGACACGAAGATCGCCGGGCATCGATAAAGTACACGTAACTGCCGACTGGTCGTACGACACGGTGGCGTAGTCCTTATGTTCCATGCGGAAAGTCAACAAGATCGAGACAAAGCCGTCGGTCACGATCGATCCCCTCGTCGGTTTCCCTCGGTGGTCGACGAGCAATGTGGCTGGTGGTGGATCCTCACGATGCGGGAATTCAGCGGCTGTGGGTGACGCGACGTTCGCGATTCCGTTGTCGTGTTCCTTCGTCCTCGCGGATCCGAAATGCCGAATCTCGTCCTCCGACCATTCGCAAATCACCGGCTGCTCTTCGACTGTGTAGCCGGTGATGATACGCGTGCCGTCTGAAAGTGGAATTATGACACTAAAATGAAATTGACATATTTGCCACCGCGCTCAAACTGAAAATCTCATTCATTGTAAATCACACTATATTTTTGGAAACTGTACTCGGGCTAAGTTCGTCTTACATGTTTCCATGCTGAAAGCATTATTCTATCTTTTCAAGGAAGATAGAATGATGCTTTTAGCACAAAAGCTTACAAACTTAGCCGTAGCATGTTTGCATTTGTGCACACATTTGTGTAGTTATTATTATCTTGACAAATCAGATTCGATTCCAAGAACCAGAAATTCTTCAAACAAATTTTGTTTTCCATACATACCAGTCTCTAATGGCAGATCGATGTATTGCATATATATGACATTGATAACGAACGTATTAATGAGCTTTCGAAATTTCTTGCAGTAAAAGTTCATCTGAACGAATGAAAATTTAGTCAATGCGATAGTGAAAGAATACCGCTACTCAGAATCGTGAGAGTGAGCGTTTCACTCGAGCTTGAAGTAGATACTGACTTCGTACGAGTGGATGTTTCAATCGATTAAGACAAATTTGTTCCTGTGATAGTGGAACACGTCGGATTCGCTTTTCAATTCCGAGTGAAAATATTCACTCTACGATTCGTAGTGGAGGAGTCGCTCTCTCTTTCTCTCTCTTTCTCTCTATACGAGTGAAAAATCACTCGGATCCGAGTGACTCGGTTGTCACTCTGCTTTTCGAATGAAGCTTCGCTGCAAGAAATTCGCGAGAGGAGCGTATCGAACGTCACACTTACAGATAGATTGATTACACGCGCGACTTGCGCCGCACTAGAGTGAAATGCGATGAGAAGAAAGGAATGAACGACACTTTTATATACACAAGTTATCGCTTATTTATTTTTTACGCGAAACTTTGCGTCAACTTTGCGGAACTTTTCTCTTTGCAAAATCATGAAAAGAACGTTACGGCGAGATAACAGGATTTTACATTAAATGCTTTTAAGGAACTTTTTATTCTTTACAAGGAAAAAGAAACGATTTACTTTGTCTCTCTCTCTCTCTCTCTCTCTCTCTCTCTCTCTCTCTCTCTCTCTCTCTCTCTCTTTTCTCTTTCTCTCTGCCACGTCTCTAACAATTTAGTAGACCATATAAAGAATTTACGCATTCGCATAATTTGTTAGGAATCTTTTCTACTATTCTACGGAAGAAGTCGGGGATGTACCGGGAAAGGTGACGACCAGTTCTCCGTTCAAACGGAATAACATATCAGTGCCGTCGGCACGTCGCGTGAATATCTCGTTGACCTCGTAGTCGGACTCTGTCCTGACGAGCAATCGATCGTGTTCACTTACGAGCAAATCGTTCAGCACATCGTAGCACCGACCGTCGTAATTCACCACCGAGTACCGTAACACTTCACCGGCGCCAAATAACCCTGTTATTAATGAATCGTCTCCGTTGCTCTAAGACAAAGCGTTTAGACGTAAGTCGCGGGGGAATTAAACACCGCCTGCCGGACACGCGAGCCCCTTTCGCGGGATCCTCCGTGGAATTAACGAGATTTTGTCGCGACTTGCGCGCGCGATTGAAATGATAAATTAAGAGACGGATAATAATGAAGCTGGGCTTCAAAGGCTGAAGGGACTTATTGTCAGCGAAACTTCGTTTGTTGCCGGAGGGTCCTGACTAGAAATTTATCCCACGCTCCTCATTAGCTTGATTCCAATCAATTATCTGGTTTATATAAGATAACGTTATCGAGTTTTATAATGATCCTTGTTACTAATAAGATCCTGATTGCTGTTACCTGACTCGAGAACACCAGCTTATACAAACTAAGTGACTGATTGGAATCAACCACGATCAGGATCATGGGATAAATTCTTACACGGATAGAATTTTATAGAGAAACAGATCAACATTCTGCAGTAATTATCCTTTCATACTATACGCGTGTTATTTATATTTTAGGAATTGAAATGTGCTATTCAAAATTTTTCTATATTCCTAGCGAAATTTACGATGTTTCTTGACAAAATAGACCTTACTGACAATCTATTTCTACACATTATTAGAAACTAGTAAAAATTTTGAAAAGAATTTATATGAAAAAACTATAATATTCTCTTCGTGTGATGTCGGAGTACAAGTCACTCTGTCATATTCTGATCGAAACGAAACTTAACAGTCACGCGTTTTCCAGCTGGCATTTTCGTGCGATTTTGCGACAGCCGGACGTCCGCGTTCGATTCGTTGTTGCGCACAGGATCCATGACATATTCCTTCCTACCCTTCGACACCGTCAATTGTTCCGAATTGCTCTTTCTGGCCGCGAGCTCGGCTACAAAGGAATCGTCGCGATTTAACTCTCGAGGACTCTCGGCGCCGCGGCTGTCCCGCATTTTCGTATATACTTTTCGCAAACGTGCGCCGGACGACGACGGATTCGCGCGATCGCGGCTTGTCAAAGTCCGTGCACGTCACGATGACGCCGTTGGGACGGAGGATGACGACGGTATTGTCGGCCAGATGCTTTAGGACGACTCCGTTCCTCAGAAAGTTCCGACGGATTTCATGAGCTGCACCTGCGCGCGCGGGACATTTCGGGACGTACGATTGCCGAATGCAAAATGGATTTTTGCCACCGGCTCCGATAGTTGGTTCTATCAATAATCCCGAAGGCCACGAAGCACGAAAGTCGAAAGCCGTATTCCGCCATGGACGATCGTAGCTCATGTTCTCTGTGGCTGCGAAAACGGAGGGGAAGGGGAACAAATATTTAACAAACACGAAGATACGTTTATCTCTCTTCTCCTCTCTTTCTTTCCTTCTTTCTCCCTCGAAATTGCCTTCGCGGGACAATTGTCGGTCTGGTCGTCTTATCTGCTCACTGTATATCGTCGTCCGACAAACATTCGATCAATGTCCGATTACCCGTATCGATTATACCCGGCTCCCCGCTGCGGCGGAAACCCAGCACGATCCCCTGCCTCGTCGTCAAGTGAAATGCATTTGGCGATCGATGGCGATCAGCTCCTCCGGACAATCGCAAGGTGCAGTCTCGCAGGGCGACGGCGACGCGCAAATCGAAGTCACCGTAAAGCCAGTTGTCGACCTCGATCCGCACCGTGATGCCGTCGCTCAGGAAGAAGCTCTCGCCGCGATGAGTCACTTGAACGCGAACACACCCGAGATCATAACCGAGGAAGTCGCGGGGCTTGCCATCCCTCTCGTCCTCTTGCCCGGCACATCGGGGTGATAGAATTTTTTTCGCGATGGCCGTATCGGCATCATCTATCTCCCGGCCCGATTTTTTCCCCGTCATCGATGTTTTTCCGCTCGTAACTCTCACGTCCGCTCGCTCGTTTCCGCTCCCCGTCATCGGCGCCCCGTCACGCTTCTCTCCCGTCATTTCGTCGCCCTGGCGGACGTCCTCGGGCGATATGCTCGTTTCGGAAATTTTGTCGCGACCCGGACACCACTCCCTCAGATGGCGCGCTTTCAGCGAGTCCGGAAGTACGAAGCACTCGTCGTCGAATATGATCGCGTCGTCTTCCACCTCGGCGGGTTCCTTCATAAATCTTCCTGTCGGCTCCGATTGGCGCGTCTCCCGCATCTCGCGTCTCTTCATCCAATTCTCTTCCTCCCGCACGATGTATTTGCAGAAGTCGTGGAATCGGACGGGCGTACGTATACTCGACGAGCGGCGCGTCTTCTCGGACAGAACGTCGTCCGTCTCGTTGTTGTTGCTGAAGTAAAGAAGCGCCGAATCCGTCGGCTCGAAGTATCTAACCGCGAAGCGATCAAAACTTTGGAAACACTCGCGAGCGACCTGCGGAAAAACTCGCCCCGAGAGTAACTCCACGTCTTCGTATTCCTCGATGGTTGGTCTTTCGTAACTTCTCCGCTCCAAGACATTCTTGTACAAATATCCCGGCAACAGCGTCTCTCTGGTGTCGGTTAACGCGAATAAAAGCGACCACTCGGCGACCGCTGAACCGCCGTAATCGATCGCGGTGTCGGAACCGCGTAAGCTACACGTTACCATCGAGGGCGGCGTAAGATTCGGCGCGCTCCGTGATCTCCTCCTCCTCGTCGTCGTCGGTCGCGGCCCCGACGATTCGCCTCTCGTCCATCGTGTCTCTTCCTCGCGTTTATTTCCGGAAAAAATCAGCTTGTCGAACATCAGGAGGTGCAAGTAATGCGCCATCTCTTCGCGACTGACCGTCCGTTCTCGATCGAACATTTTAGCGATACTGTCCAAGTGACGAGAGTACATCTCGGCTTTCGATCTCTCCGGCGCCTCATGATCTCGCCAGACATTCGTTATCCGTGGATCTTGCAAAATGCGTAGGACCCCGTCGACCAGATCGATCGATTTTTTATGATCAATGTGCCGAACGATCGCGCTCAAAGTATCTCCGTGCAGTGTAAGCTCGATATCGGAAGATCGCGACGACCGATCGGTATGCTTTTCGCGAAGTTCATATTCGTGATCAAGCCGTTCGAGTTTATCCCGTACAGTGCGCGGAAACATTCGCTGCAAAAAGAAGTCTGTTGTAACGATACGTTAACACGTGTTTTAACACACCATTCTGGCAGTTTAAGTTAACACATTCCATACAGTACATATGTCTGGGATATGACTTGGAGACATGCTAGAGACGTCAAAAAGCGATAGGATACCTTCCCCTCTCTGGCATCTCTGAAGTGTCTTTTGAATATTTGTGCTGTATGGGAGGTACGTGTATTGGAAAAATGTTGTAAGCTCAAATATCGTCTTTTAATATTGAAAAGCTGATACTTGAGGTTATATTAAAAGACGATATATAAGATCAAAACAACACATACGTGTGTTGATTGAAACTGCCTGTATACTGGAAAAAATACCGGAAAATTTATTCGTGGGAAGTCACAGAAATAAACTTTATTCACTTTACTTTACACAAGAGACTTCATATCCCACGAATAGATTTTTTCTCGGTATTGCATATATAGATTTTTTCTAGGTATGAGCGAAGACGCGTTAACGTTTTGTCAGAACACACTTCACTTTGCGATACGCGACTCGTCGATGTATCTTCGCCGCGAAGCTCCGCGTTACGTTCGGCAGAGGAGTACTCGTCGGGAGATCCCGCGAGATTGGCTTCGACCTGCAAGAGCATCGCGCACAATATCAATGGCACGTCGATGCATTCGTTAGATATATCGCTCAGCGTGTCTTCGTAAATCCTAGTGTCTATCGATGGACTTCGTGTCTCGAGGATCCTCTTCTCTAACTTCATACTTCCCAGATAATTGGCGTGCTGTCTGTGAAGGTGATGCAAATGGCGCAGAGTGCGAGACATCTCGTCGTATGTGTCTCGCATGAAAGATCTCTTCTCGAAACCGCGGTAGCTCCTCGGCAATAGCGGTGGGCAGAAAGTGAGGACGGCTATGTTTGAATACGCGGGGTAGGTCGACGGGTCGGAGAAGCGTCGGTTCGTGATGGTCCAAAAGTCGAGCAGCTCGCCGGCACGATAATCTGCGGGCAAACTCGTTTTCTTCGCGAACGTCGGCCCGTCCGCTGCGCGGTACGCGGTCGCCGGCTCGCCCGGGAGTTTAATCTGCAATATACAGGTGAGAGGAACTCCGACGCTCAACAGTTCCACGGGCAAATCAGGATCGTGAAAGCCGCTAAGTACGACGTAGAGATCGGGCTCGTGAAAAGGAACGTCCTTCGCACTGCGTTGCCGCGTGCTCCCTTTGCCGTCCGACACATACCCAGCCCCGACACGCTGAGTTCCTCCAGGTCCTTCGATGGCGCTCTGCGAAGAAGCTGAGTAATGAAATTAGTGCCATTATATAGATTGCCTCAGAGTATCGCGGAAGGGAAGTCAATACCGGGAGAGCCGCTCGCGAAATCCCCGTGAAAAATATCCCTCCGAGCGCATTTGCGATGCGCGGTGGACGTGTCGGCCGATCCGACGAAATAAATAACGCGCTATATTTTTTGTCAGAAATTTCGCACGATTGCTACATATCGGTGAGGAGGATCCATTTCTCAAGAGAACAGAGGAGAAGAGCAAGAAGTATGTGAAAGGAAACGTCTAACGCGTGTCATTTACTTGAAGCGTCGATATTCCACGTCATTCGATTTACCCAAGATCTCAAAATCCCGCTCCACCCTTGTCCCCCGTCCGTGCTCGATTTTGGCGCGATAAATCAGGTACTTGACGACCCGTGCCATCAGCCAGGCGGACAGATCGCCGTTGTTTTCGCTTAGCAGCGCATTTGCGTAATGACAGATACGCTGTACGACGGGACATTTCTCGGGATCTTCTTCCGACAACGTTTTCACCGTGGCCGTCGCATTCCCGCGACTCAGGTAGCAAACGCGCGTCGTTCGTTTCTCACCCTCGGCAGTCTCGTTTAACAGAGAGACGTGGCGACTGTGCTCGACCGTCGTCTCCACCATCATCGTCGCTATACACCACCAGCGATCGTCGTTGATGGATGTCGCGTCCAACTCGACGCGCCAGGCGTCCTTGTTGGCGGTTTTCTGGCTTTTGTCGTTGTTGCCGTTGCGCTTTCGCGACTTGTTCCTCATGAATGTATCACTCGATATAACCAGTATTCGGGAGCGTTGGCGCGATTAACGTATCACGTCGGCGAATTATCGCGAATTATTAATTGCGCGATTTAACAGTCGCACGCAAACGTATTGGCAAACAAATGAGCATACAAATTAGCGATATCGTATTCGCAGTGCGTGTCGTGTGGGAAAAAAATATTATTACTACGCTTGATATTTAATAATTTGTAACTTGAATGGTTTAATAATTTATTGCACATGTGTAACTCGAGTGAAATTCACTCGGCCGGAACACGATTCCACGATGGAGATTTCATACGATGCGAAATTACGCGTGTACATACACATACGTAAAGACAGATGTTACACAGCGGCGACGCGTCGCCAAGTAAAAGTGTGTCGCGGAAAAGCTGATCGTTTCTCTCTTGTAGCCCGCGACGAAGAAGTGAGAGTAAATCGAGCATTTCGCACCGACACCGACGCGGGGGACGCCGGTAATGGAAAACGTATTACCGGAGTCGTAAGTTCCGTCAGTAGGGACACAAGCGTCCGACATTATAACGTGGATGTGCAGGCTGTACTTAACGGCGAAACTCCGCGGAAACTGTAATTTTCGTGCAAGGGGACGAAAAAGTAGTCGATGCGGCCGCTCGCGCCCTTTCCGCGTTCGCGCTCGCGTCGCGCCGCTCGTAAAATACGAGCGCGCTGGAAAAAAAAAAGAAAAAATAGAGTTAAACCAATGGGACGCCGAAATATATGTGCGCTACATCGCGCAAAGTTGCTCAGGTGTATATACCTTGTTAAAATGACGTGCGTAACGTGGCAATGATGATTACCGATAAATGCAATTTGGAACGTGTCGTCCGTGCGTACATTTTTTTAATCTCTCTTTCTCTCACTCTCTCTCTCGTGCGCGCGCGCTGCAAAATTTCGTTACAAAAATGTCCACTGTTTTTTGACATCGATACTTCGTTGCAACGTTAAACCGCACAAAGTGCTTATAACTAAGTACTTTATATAATTATCTCGGTATATATATTGCGAATTGAAAAATTCCATTACGATAACAATTTATTCCGCTGAAAGCGCCATGGTATTAAATGCGTATGTACAAAAAGCGCCATGTAACAGATTTAATTAAACGTGCTTGTCGCGGGATATTTGCGAGTTGCGCTCCTCTCTGCGAGAAGCTTAGCCTCCAACATTGCGAGCATTTTCATGAAAATGCGTTTTGGTAGACTTTTGGCAAAATAATAGCCAAACTCACAAAGATACTATAGGCTGAAATGCGCGGGTAATAACGTATGGACACGTCCCATCGTCAGCTAATTTTGTCGCGAGATTAAGGTCCACATTATTTTGGCCGCGCATAAAAATACGTGAAAATTACTGGCGGCGGGAAAAAGGAAGCTTAAAAATGTAGCCACGCGGATGCGGGCGAAATGGAGTGGCGACCGATGACCAAGAGAAAAATTCGCGGGATTAAGCGACGTTTAAAAATCCATCCTGTTTTGCCAGGTTATTCAACGTCGCGCAATTTTTATCCCTTTTCATCGTCTTACAAAAGCCGAGACATGAGAATATCTTGACTTGCATGTTAGCGTTTAAACCTGACTTGACGTTGCGTTACATTTACCGCTTTGTGATCCACGCGACCGCGCGCGATGCGCATACGGGCCAGAGAAATCGGCCTCTCAAGTTCGCAGAAGGAATCTTACCGCGGAATCCCATCGACTCGCCACCACATGCTCATCGGATTGATCGTCGCCCTGTTGAATCCTCAGGTTTACAGGAACGAGTCGTCGCGAAATGCACTGAGAAAGAGAAAAAAGTGGTACTTTTTTTTTACTACTCTCTTAAAGTGAATCGGTAAAAATATCTCTGTATCAATAAACTGTAACAGTGTTTTATCGATAATCAGTGAGTGTTCACTGATTTTCAGTGAAAACATTCCCGCTTTACAATCTGCTCGTGCATTTCACTTATTTTTGATCAGTGGAAGTAAAATTTCCAAATTTGTAGTATATAAATTCGTTATACTCTATACGAAATCCAACTTTCCACGTTTGTGATGAATCGTGGAATTAACCGCTTCCATGCAATTTACATGCGATAGCATTGTTTGCGTTTGCAAAATGCATCAGCAACAGTCGTTGCTATTAACTGATCCTTTCAGCAAAATTTTACTGATTTCAGTGTAATGTTTGTAACAGACTTATCAGTTATAAGTACAGAATTTCAGTGAAAAGAACACTGATTGTTCTTTAGAAACTATAATATCACATGGCAAGAGAACTATATCAGAAGAACCATTTTTATAGTAAATATTTGTACAGCATTAGCGATAATAACCTTATATGTATATTGTTACTACTACTTTTTTTTTAGAACAAGAGGAAGTATAGCTGACATCGAAAATAACAGTAATTTTTTATGCACGGGGAAAAAGATTGTTGCATAACGTGAAGTTTACGTTTATTGAACTAATCAACGCGTTTTGGTTGAAGGGTTCAAAACTTTTAGTTCCTAGTACCTGCGTCTGTTTCTCAGAACCATAAACTCAACTTACTTTGAGCAAAACGCTCAAAGGTCCGTTCATTACAACCAAACTTCATGTTAACATAAACTCTCCTTTCTCAGTTTGATACCGCGCGCACGCATTTATGCAGTACGAGACTTGACCTGACCATTTGACCTAACCTGACCCTATCTGACATTGCATTAGGTTACGTTACGTATCGTTTTGTGATCCGCGCGAAACATATACAGTCGGGGACGCCGGCACCGCGAGTTTGCAGAAGAGACATTCGCATCGCGGAGTCTCACCGACTGATCGCCACGTGTCCGTCGGGTTAATCGTTACCCCGTTGATCAGGTTTACAGGGGCGTTTCGTCGCGAAACAACAACATCGCACGGGACTTTAATTAAATTTGATAATGGAAAAGTTTATTGAGTCGCGGCTGTGAGACCGACGGCGTTTGCGGGCGGGGATGGAAAAGAGATACGGGGGTGGGCGCAGGTGAGGACACGCTAATTGGCCGACAGTTTTGCGTCCGGCTACCCGCGTAGTGTCATAACAAAAAACGCTACCATTCATCCCATTATTTCTCAAAACGGTGGCGCGCACGTGTGCGCGAGCGAGAGGTTTGATTTTAATTAAATCATAATGTAGTTTTGCCGGGTGCTGCTGCACGCTCGCATAGCTCCGTCTCGTACATGGCTGCGACCCGAAGGGCCCTCTTCATCGTGTGCGAGGCCGCGCGCAAGCTCTACGAAAGCACGTCGTTATCTCAGTTTAGTTCCGGCGCGCTGTTTTCGGAGAGGCGCTGAAACAACGAGGCGCATCGCGATAATGACCGGGCACTCGAGATACTATTCGCTATGTCTAGTCACCATAATAAGCAAATCTTCATTGTCGTTTGTTACGGCGGCAGGAACACGCGAAATAGACAGAGAAAGGAAGAATCGTTTTGTTCGTTGAACGTTCACACGCTCACTACTACTAAAGTCTTTTTTTTCTATATATAGGTGTTTGATGCAAGATACGCAATCCCACGGTACATACAGATTAAGTCAAACTAAACAAAAAATTCCTTTATTATTTTGAACAAACATTTTAAGTTATTAATTAAAGAAAATTGATTAATGACCACGTGCGATATGGTAAATGAACCGTGATAGTGACTGAGCCAAAAAGTTCTATATCATTTTGCACATAGATTTTTGAGTTATTGATTAAAGAAGATTAACGGTTAATCGCACTTAACGGCGATAATGTATCAATGTTCTTTAATTAATAACTAAAAATCTACGTGATCATTTGTAAAATAGTAGAGAACTTTTTTGTTTAGTTTGACTTAATTTACAAACATATAACAGCAGGCGTTGCTATCACAATTTATCTGCTGTATCATGCGTGATCATTCGTCAATATTCTTTAATTAATAACTTAAAATTTCATATATATACAGGATGTTGAAAAAAATGGTCATATTTTGATAGCAGGTAGTATTGATCAAAACAAGAAGAAAAGGTCTAATTAACATGGGTCCTAAGACTAATATCTTCTAAGATACAAGCTATGTATTTTGTTATTTGAGCTCTTTGTCATTTTCTTATTAGTCGTGTCACCTTTAGAATGTAATGAACAAAGGAGTAGGGGACGACACTTAACCCAGGCATTTAATGTGCAATGGATTGGTCGGGGAGGTACAGTAGTTTGGCCTGCTCGATCCCCGGATCTGAACCCTTTAGATTTTTGGTTATGAGGACACTTAAAGACCTTGGTGTATTCAACACCCGTCGATGACATTCGAACACTGCACGATCGCATTTTCCATGCGTGTCGGCAAATTTCTGACCAGCCAGGTGTATTTGAAAGAGTGCGTGATTCTATAAGACGTAGGGCTGAAACATGCGTGAGAGTGAATGGCAATCACATAGAGCACCTCCTCTAATGCTGAGTCAGCATTAAAATTTTTTGATTTTTGTAAAAAAAAAGTTTTTATTTTGTTATTATACATTCAGTTTCTTTACTTCAATTTTTTTATGGAAGATAAATGATTACATTTCATATTAAAATAAAAATTGTTTCTTTATCTCTCTTTGTTAATTTTTTATTTTTTAAGGTACCTAGAAAAAAGATATCCCCATTGTACCCCACTCTCCCCTACTCTTTTGTTCATTACATTCTAAAGATGACACGACTAATAAGAAAATGACAAAGAGCTCAAATAACAAAATAGCTTATATCTTAGAAGATATTAGTCTTAGGACTCATGTTAAATAGACCTTTTCTTCTTATTTTAATCAATACTACCTGCTATCAAAATATTTGACCCTTTTTTTCAACACCCTGTATATATATATA